GTGGTCACTGTCGGCCTCGGGTGATAGCGAAATATGCCGCACACATACTCCCGTTCCATTGGTGTTAGGTCACTGAACGGAAGCCCGAACCGAACTCGCTCGCGAGGGCGGCATTGTAGTCCATGTTGAAAGATCCAATGAAATGATCGCGCCACCGCGGTGCTATAACCCATCGTGGTAACCAGTCTCGATCTCCTAAATGCTACCGATAACGACTATTCACACTTGACGTCACTCCCTACGTTCCCTCCGTTTTTGGAAGCCCAGAAACAAGAATGGAGATAATTCAGTTTCGGTGTCTTCAGTTCTTTTTAGGCACAGGAATACGCATCACAAATGTCTGCAAAATATTGGGCAGCGTGCTAGGTTCCCAAGAAGCCTAAAAACATCATTTAAAAAAAAAAAAAAAGAAATAAAATCGCCTTCCTTGTTCTTTTAACGTGCCAGACACTCGGGAACTAAGCTTTGGACCGCTAGGCCTAGAATAGGCCAAGTCACGAAGACGACGCGAGCGATCGACATGCAAGCAGATAGACAAATCTTGACACACTTCTTTGGGTACTGCTAAAAGATTGGCTAGCTGCAATCCTCCCTTTTACATGTAGCAACACGGCTGGAGTGTGGCAGATAAACGATGTTCATCAAACTAAAACTGAAGAAGACACGAGACAATTTTCTGCAGTGCGTGAATACCAGCCCCCTTACATTTCAGTGTTACTGGACTGGGGTAAAAGAATACAGGACCATGGCTGAATTAGGCAACATCGATCACATGCTGTAAAAGTTTTATTCTCACTGCCTTGCGTATCCGCATTGAGCCGCTTCGGGGAAACAGTAAAATTTCTTGTTTTTTTGGGTCAGTTATGAATAGGGGTGTCGCGAACTTTTGTCGAACCAGATTTTTTGGTCGAACTTTCGGGGTTCGACTGGGTCGAACCGGTTCGACGAACCTTCAAACTTTTCACCAGTTTCGACCGGTTCGACTTTGTGGACAGTGTGGCCAGACCTTGATACAAGCATGTCTAGGTTTGGAGAATTTCTTTTTTATGCAACAGGTTATTTTATTGTGTGAACAACTGCAATTAAAAGAAACTAATTCTATTCACTGAAGAAGTTAATAACTTAAATTTTAGTACTGTATTGACTGAAATAGCCGATCAGCGCAGCACTTAATTCAACTCTTAGCCATTACCATCCAATCCGAAGCCAACTGGCCAGCCTGTCGCGCATGCGCACACGAGTCGAACCTCAATACAAGGTTCGACGAACTTTCTACTAAAAGTTTGAAAAAGTCGAACCTGGTCGAACTCGAACCGCGGCCGGTTCGCGACACCCTTAGTTATGAAGAGTGCAGAAGAGTGTGGCGACAGCAGTGCCTCCTGGAAGGGGCAACAGCACCTATGGCTACATAGTTACGGTGCATTTCAAAAGATGACGTGTGGCTCATAAAAATTATTGCGTTGCACTGCAAATAAAAAAAAAAAACTCATAAGTCGCATTGTTGTATAAAATGCACCAAGAAAAATATAAAAAAAAGTGACTTATACACTGGAAAATATTGTACTGTAAAGTAATTAATTACCCAATATTACCGAACGCTAATAATGTTTCTTAAAGGGAAGCTAAAGAACTTTTCGAAAGAAATTAGTTGATGGTTGAGTCTGACGTGTTTCTGCCTGACCCAAAATAATCACTAAATGCGGTAAAAAGCGAAGAAAACGGAAGTGATTGGCGCAGCAGCAGCATGCCATTGAATAGTCATGTGTGACGTGCCACTACATGAAAAAAGGACCATGTCGATTCTCGCTTGCGGAAGTAGTCGGGTACTGAGGCTTCAGCTCTTGTAAGTCGGGTTCGGCTTCTGATCTTTTGAAATCTTTCAGTGGATCTGAAACAAGGATGTGTCCAGAGAACCCTCGACTTGACAAAGTATGCGTTCCAGCCGTTGGTAAGGCAGAAAAATGGCCCCCTGCAGTAATACGGGCAGATATGAGGAACTGCTTGCACCGATGTGGCCTGGCCGACTTGATGCGTTCAGGAACACACTGACTGCTATTTATTGTAACGTAAAACGTTGACAATAAACGGAATGCTAGTGACGGGACGCATCAGGCCAGATTAGCGTGACTCTTCCCAAAACGCTCGTCAGAGGACGAGAATTAGCACAGCCTTAAAGCTTGACACAGCAGCTGCTGGACACTTGACCTTGAAGGCTGCATTTTTTGCCAAGGCTGAAGTGGATTGAAAGGATAGTAAAATCAACTTTGGGCAACGGGTGAGCTTCCCCTGAGATGAGACGGCTGATGAGACGGAGTCGCCGTTTTGCCACTGCTATGTCCTTGCGTACTGCGTGAATAAACGCACAGAAGGTCCATCCTTCTGATTGTGGTACCCTTTGCTGCATTTTATTTGTTTCCATCAATTATTGTGCAATTGCAGCTTTAAAAAAAGCGGATATGTGTGCCCAGCAGCCCTCAGTTTGATGTCGAATTTGTGAAAGCTTTCTGGGGCTCTACATTAATTTACTTCTTGCAAGATTTGTTGGCTGCATTAAACCACCACCAAGCTTTATCATCGTCCAATCTCATTTCTATAACACAAAGGACCATTGCATGACACACAAACTTTGTACAAAGAACATTGCGGAAGTAAAAAAAAAATCTCAATTCACAACAGAATGTCACATGCTTTGGATCTCCAAAATGCACTCCTGCAGGGAATATGTTCCTATGGAAGGAAAATTTACCAAAGTTTATGTTTGCGTTCAAAAAGTATGTGACCTCATAAAATGTCAGTAACTATAAAAAAAAAATAGTTTTGTGTTTAAATTAGGGTGCCTAGCAACCGGGGAAACCGGGAATTGTCAGGGAAATTTTAATTATCGGGAAAAATCTGGGAATTGTCAAGAGAATTGTCAAAAAGCGAGCCCAATCAGGGAAAAGGATCCGGAAATGCCATCGAGTTCCCTGAGCAAAGAGTTGAGGACTTGGGGGCAGAAAAATAGGCAATAAATTCTGCTTAGAGCTGAGTGCACGCTCTGCTTACCCGATGTAGTGTGTGCTACACGGTACAAAGGGAACAGCCGACAAATCCAGTCCAAGCCTTGGACTGGATTGGATTAAGGGCGTGACACTAGCTTAGATCCAGTTAGAGCTACGAGATTTAGTAGCAAATGGGAAAGCCGCAGACTCCAATCCAATCCAAGCCTTAAACCAAAAGTATCCGAAAGTGTGCATCTGGCAGCCATGCTGCCATTCGGTTATTGACGTGTGTGGTTGAGCGTCGTGTTTTCATCGTGTTTCCTTTCCGGAAGTGTCCTCTTCACTAGCGATGTCAATGGCAAGAAAGTGCTTGTTTAATCCAAACTGGACGAACCCGAATATTTCGGAATATGCAAGTTGGATTAACTCCGTGCAAAATGATCCTCACAGTGCTCAATGCTCAATGTCTTGTGTTGTAATGGTCTTATATATTTAACCGCCTCTACAGCGGTCAAGGAATTTCAAATGAAATTGTAAGGGAAAAACCTGGAAAAGTCTGGGAATTTCAAAATAATAATTTGCTAGACATCCTGAAGACAAGTTGCACTTTGAAAGTCGCATGATGAATTGCATGACCAGTTATTACAACAAGCCGTCCTCTCCCAAATGACTAAGTAGCAGAGTAGATTAAAAACGAAAGAAAACAATCTTTGGTTGCAGAGTCAGTCCGGGAAATATGGTCACTTTAACGATATAAAAAAGAAACCAGAACTAAAACACTAATATGAGGCGGTTAACAGAAAAGATCCACTGGAAGCCTGCTATTTGGCTACATGGCTGCAACAGCAATTCCATTCCCTACTAAATTTAGCAGGAAAATTGACGTCATATGACCTCAACAGCAATTCAATTTCCCGCTAAAATTAGCGGGAAAATTGACGTCACATGACCTCAACACCAATTCAGTTTCCCCACTAAATTTAGCAGAGGAAATGACTTTACATGACACATGACTTGGTGTCACGTCACCTATGAACAAATTCAGTGTCTCTGCTAAATTTAGCAGGGGAAATGACTTCACATGACACATGACTTGGTGTCACATCACCTATGAACTAATTCAGTGTCTCCGCTAGATTTAGGGGGAAAATCGATGTCACATGCAGAGTAGCAGGAGGAGGAGGGGGTGTAGGGAGGAGGAGGAGGAGGAGGAGGAGGAGGAGGAGGAGGAGGAGGAGGAGGAGGAGGAGGAGGAGGAGGAGGAGGAGGAGAAAAAAGAGAAGAGGGGAGGAGGAAAGGGTACGGACGACGAGGAGGGTCATAACCTCCCCTCCTCCTTTTTAAGAGCTGCTCTCTAATTTTGCATTACAGAGCTTTATAAGCGTCTTTCATTTTTTTTCCTCAGTTGTGAAACTGCCTTTGCTTTCCTTTAATGGGCCCTTTGACAAAGACCACTACAACATCAAGCTTTTTTCTGTACAATGCATAGTTTTTGCAGAAGTGATTTGGCCAGTGTTTCCAAAAACACCCTGCATAAGTCACACCATTGTATAAAACGCACTGAGAAAAATTTGGGAAAATAACTGTGACTTAAACACCGAAAAACATGGTACTTAGGTAAACTGTGAGTGTAGCATTGTTTTTGTAACATTTTTGGGGGTTTTGCAAGGGGGGTATTTGTAAAGCTATGAGTATCGACTTGCTTTTAGAATACTTTATATCAGTCCGAATGTTTACATTGTTTCTTTTCTGGTGTGTTTTTAATGTTGCTGCTTAGTATTTTTCTTTATCACCTATTTTTTAACTTCTTTCCCAGATTGACTCCCTGAGGGTTGACGATATATGTTGAGATAAATAAAGTACACTTGAATGCTGACATCTGCCACAGCTGATTACATTCTCCTCTAGAAACTGTCTTTATTTCTAGTGCCTGTTTTAGATGTTTAAAAGAAAACAAAAAATCCTGCGCAATATGCTAGTTGCACGCAGCACTCAAAGTGATAAGAATGCAATTCGCAGGGGTGGAGGAAGGCAGCTGGTACTTTGAAGTCAGCATAGAAGACATGCCCGAAAACAGTGCCACACGCATTGGCTGGTCCCAAGCATTGGGTACGTACAATGCATTATCTGACCTTCTCAAGCCGGCTTTTGTCCTGAGCCACTCAGCGGCACCCACTTTTGAAAAAGGCCCACAGTTTTATGCGGACGAGATAAAAAGATTTTTTTGCATCAATATTTTTATTGTATCAATACCCCGGGTGGCCCGTATTTCAGTTACGCAGTCAACGTAGCTTTTCTTTCATGCGTTACTATACATTTGGATAAAGCGAGAATGGCAGGGAGGAGGTTCAGTTGTTCTGCCTCCAGCACAAGCTTCCCACCTTTGACAGTGCTTCGGCATTTTGTGCACTTCGAGAGCAAGCTTGTGCAGCTAAAGCACAATGGAAGGTATGGAGCGTGTGCTGGAGGCCGGGTGCTCACGAGGTACGCCCTGCCGTTTTCGTTTTGTCAACGACTATATTATACTACTCGTAGCGCCCTGTCGGGCCATGCAACTGCCTGCAGTCTGTTTTACAAGTGAGTTAATACTATTAAGGATTTTCGTGCAGTTGTGTCGCTTAGGGTTTTTACCTTGGTCCCTCCCGATCGTCTCCGCAGCCAACCTGCAGGCGCCCCTCGGCTACGACCGGTTCGGCTACTCTTGGCGCTCCCGGAAGGGCACCCGGTTTCACGAGAGCAGGGGCTACCACTACAGTGACGAGGGCTACGGGGCGGGAGATACCCTGGGCTTTCTCATCCAGCTGCCTCGGAGCAAGGAGAAGGAGGGGCGGCTCATTCTGCCCGACGCCTTCAAGGACAGGGTGGGTGCTGCTTTCCCTCACTCTGTGCAGTCAGATTCTCGCCTGCTTCGTCGTACGACGGACTGCGGCAAACGCCACGAGCATCGAGTGACCTCTTAAAGGGGTGCAGCGATGCACGTGCCACGTAGTCGTGTGATTCGTTCGGAGCCTTTGGTTGTCTAGGATGGCTGAGATGTCCTTTGCGGTTTATTATAGTGTAACATGGAGTATAGTAAATGTATTCAAATCCTAGGCCTTTCTACCGTTGTCCAACCTAACTTGCATGTCCTCTCACCATTAGGGGGATGCTGAACTGAAATTTGGAGCTCACAAAACAAGGCTGGAGCAATAGGCGGGACACTGCAAAAACCCCAAAACATCACTCATACAGCGATAGCTCTAACGAACGACCATATTTTTGAAAAAGAAGCGTCCGAGTGAACACGACCGACAAGGCTGACGAAACGATACAAAAATATGTTAACTTAAGCTCCAGTTGAAATTTCCGCACTTCTCTGCTAATACCAAAGGCGCGACAAACGGGACCTTACCAAATAGAGCCACTAAGAGCCACTAAATACAGTAGAGCTTAGCTGGTAAAGATTACAAACACCGCCGCGTTTGCGCGACAATGTTTGCGATCGTTTACGCGCGCGCGACCACCGCACAGCACCAGCGACAAAACATGAATTAAAAAAAAAATGAAAGAACGGAAAAAGCAAGCGTATAAAAACAAACAAAAAACACTCAATTCATAGAATAATTTAAAACAAAAAAGGAAACTCACTAAATTCAAGCAACAAAAAAAAAAAAGGCAAAAAAAAACAAAAAAAAACGCGCAAAGCAAGAACGGTGAAAGAAAAAGGTAAACGAAGATAAGGCGTTCAAAGTGTAATTGCTCAACCATAGCCTCCTCTATACGGAGAAAGCCTGGCGTGTCGTGAGAAAAGACAGCCACCATAAATGGGAAAGGAGGGGCGGTTAAACGGGAGCGGAGGGAAGATTGCCTGCTAGCGCCACACAAGAGTGAGCGGCGAAATGCAGAAACTTTTTTTTTTCTCTTTTCTTTTCGGTATCGTGGAGAGGAGAGCCGATCGCGGCCGTCGGTTTCGTTTAGTCAAAACGGCATGGTCCTTCCGCGGCACGATACGATGGTCCGACGACGATGCACTCCGCTTGCACGCCGACAACTCCACTGACGCCACCGGCATGGTACATTGATTGTTGCCAGAGCCTTTGGAATCGCCGCGACCGTTTCTCCCGGAGTACGAAAACGACGGTGACGAAAACACGAAAACAAACGTGGTTCGGGGAGCGGCCGCTCATGACCCAAGCGCTTGCACACTATCTCTGCCCTTTCTGCTCTGCGCTACCATATTGGTCATTGTTGGGCGCGCTCCTCCTCTCCTTTTTCCTGCAGCCGCACACCCTATAGCTCTGTCGTCGATGTGCCAGGCTTTCTCCGTATAGAGGAGGCTATAGCTCAACTGTTGTCGACACACTCGACTTGAGGAAGACTTTTTTTTTTTTTTTTGCTTATTTTATTTTGGGGCTAAGGAGCACTCCCTGCCCTCCCTACATGCGCGCGTGCCCTTCCCTTTGCTTTTGCCATCCTCCACATTTTTTTTCCGTTGCTCTTTTTTTTTTTACAACTGCTTTTTTGTTGAGTATCCCCGTGCACGTATGCTGGCTTGGCGGTCTGCCAGCCCGGCAACGCGAGCTTCTCCTCAGCGGGTGCAACCTAACCTCGGGAGAAGCGAAGGGTCATGCTTCGTTCGCTGTATTGAGTGTCCCCGCCATGGGAGTCCATGGGAATTCGATACAAAAAGACAATGCTCCTATACATTACATGTGATTTTCGAGGGGATGTTTGGACTGTTCGATATAAGCAACAATTCGAAATACCTGGGTGTGATATGTGATATAGCCGAGCTCGACTGTATCATCATCTGCTATGCCCGAAGGATGCGGACATGAACGCTGCCCATTGGCGTCCGTTTTTGCCCTCGGCCGTCTGCTATTTCGCCCCCTAATACAATATCAATATGCTAGTTGATAGCACACCTTAAAATAAGTTTGAAGTATTACTTGCCACATACAAATATCTTAATACGATAACCAGACCAACACGATTCACTGTTCACACAGAAACTCTAATAGACCTTTTCATTACAAATATTGATAATACACGTCTAAAAGGAGGAATATTTAGCACCCATATCGGCAATCATCTCCCAATATTTATTTGCATAGAAGAAGCTCTTCACCAAAAACGAGACATTCGGTTATTAAGACAATTTCAAAACATAACGCCTGACAATCTTGATATGTTTTGCAACGGTATTGTAAGTGTGAGTTGGAATGATGTTCTAACAGAGACTGATCCGAATATAGCATATAACACTTTTTGGAATAGGTTTCAGACGATCTATGCGAAGGATTTCCCCTATAAGATATTCAAATCGTTGCATAGAATTTGAAAGCCGTGGGTTACCCCAAGCCTTCTATCCAAAATTATTATAAAAAATTGGCTATTTCATAACTTTAACAAACTAGAAATCAAGAGGATTTAAAAAAGTTCAAGTGTTATAGAAACCACAGTGATGTGATTGCTGCGCCAATTGCGCCAAACTGCGCCAAGGGGCTAACCCTGCTACATCCTGCTACATCTTGCGAAAATATGGGTATTTTGCGCCAAGCCTGTGCCAAAGGACAAATTTCGGCCACCTTTCAAAAACGAAACTGAAGTGAGAACCGTAATTGAGCATGCTCGAGCTAGGTGGCGCAAGCGGCCGCCCGACACAAAGTACCCTGCATCAATCGTCCATCCGGCCTTGCATGGTTTTTTGCGCCGTCTCGCGTTTCGCGCTCTCGTCGTTTGGGGTATTTCGTCTCACGTCTTTTTTAAATATTTTCAATGATAGACGCGGGCGTGTGTGACGCACCGACGCTAGTGTGCTGGGTGCCAGCCATGCCGTCATGCTATGAAACAAAACCACGTTTTTGCGCGGCGGGAGTTACTTCGTGAGCTGAAGCGCGCAATTGTGGCCGCGCAACGTCGGGTGTTGCCGTCCCCACGTTGCTGCAGATGTGGCGCTTTCTAAATTTGTTCATCGACATTCCTGCCCTTGTTTAAATCATACGCTACTACAAAAATTCTTCTTTAACTCAGACTGCTGTGTCGAAGTATGGATAACCTAGGTTTCTCCGGGCTTTTTTTTTTTTTTTTTTTTTTTTTTTTTTCTGAGAGGGATTTCTGCCGGTACGTGAAAAATCTGCCGTGAAAGGAAGATGGTGAAGAGAAGTGAGCCAAAGCAAAGAAGGCGATGTCTGCACGCTGAACCCGCAAATTGCGCTTGTTTGTCTCGAGTTCAGTCGTTACACATTGCGCTCCAAGAACTTTTTGACCCTGGCTCGCCGTGTCATGCTTCGATGCGCTCAAATTTTTTTTTCTGCGTGTTCAGTTTGTACCTTGCCTGCCGGCCTGGCAAGCACGCGCCGCTGGATTGTTTTTTGTCGTATGCTGGACAATTACTTTTTGCATACCATTTTGGGAACCAGTTGGCGACGGAGCGGAGTGGCATTGTTTCGGTTTCGATTGAACAGCCGTTGTCTCTGCTCGCGTGACGAAGCACGTACAACTGCAAGCCTGCTGATTGCAGGACAGAAACCCCAGCCGGGACGCTTGCAATCTATTGTTTTACGTTTGCTTACTTTTGACGAAAATCTGGCACGTCGAGAACCAATAAAACGGAAACAAGCGTTTTTTTTTTGTTTTTTTTCGGAATTGTTTGGCAACGTTTACAGCACTGTACATTTGAGGGATGTCTCAGCAGTAAAACACAAGCAGCGAGTTCCGTCACAACACAACACAAAGTGCCCTTCCTTTGTCCAGCACTGAAAACGAATATTATTTTTTTTTAATATTTTTCTAAGAATATCTGCTCCAAAAGCCACTTTTGCTGCTCCAAGACAGTGTCTTGGCTGCTCCAAGACAGTGTCTTGGCTGCTCCAAAAGCCAATTTTGCTGCTCCAAGACAGTGTCTTGGCTGCTCTAAAAGCTAATTTTGCTGCTCCAAAACACTGTTTGGGCTGCTCCAAAAGGTGCTCCAAAATGGCTAAGGCCAATCACATCACTGAAACCAGCTGTCAAAAAGAATTCGAAAAAGCTAGGGAACATTATTATCATAACAGTTTTAACTCGACAATTGGAAATGTTGAGGTCACTTGGAAAAAAGTGAATATGATTTTATGGGGTAGTCAAAAAAATGAACACCTAGGGAGGCTGTATATAAACAGAAAAGAAATAATGTTTAATGACCATTTTGTAAATTTAGTGAATATAAATTGTGATGATGATGCTTGTAGGTATATTAAAAAGAGAAGTGCAAATTCAATCTTTTTGGATCTGGTTGACGATTCCGAGGTTCTTAAAGCAATCATGAATTTAAATAATACTCGTACCAGGGACATACTAGATGATATGCAGATTAGACCCGTGAAATATGTTTTAGATGTAATTATGCCTTATTTGACTTATATATTTAACTTATCCCTGAGTGTATGCAAATAGCAAAAGTTTCTGTACTGCGTAAGAAAGGCGATAAAAATTATATAAATTATTATAGACCAGTTTCCATACTGCCTGCTTTTTTTTCAAAAGGGCTAAAAACACTTATTAATATATGGCTCTCAAAATTTTTCGATAAGCATCAGCTAATTACAAAATCCCAGTTTGGATTTTGAAAGCATCGTTCCACTGAGCTTGCTTTACTTGAAGAAAAGGAATTCATTTTACATAATCTAGCTGATAGCAAACTAGTTTTGGGAATTTATATTGACTTTACGAAAGCTTTTGATTATTTGAACAACTAGCTCTTATCACAAAAACTTGAATGTTATGGAGTACGCTGGCAAGACCTTCTTTTATTGCAATCATATCTCGAAAATCTCAAACAATATGTGTGCTGTAATAATTTCTCATCCAGTATAAAATCCATGGTCTCTGGAGCATACCTCGGCAAACCTCACTCATGAGGGCCCTCACTCACCCTCACTCACCCTCATCTTCACAGGTGAGGTGAGGGTGAGTGAGTTTCTGAACCAGGAAAATTCATGAGTGTGAGGGTGAGTGAGGGCTGTGAGGGCGGTGAGGGCCGTGAGGGCGGTGAGGGCCGTGATGGCGGTGAGGGCCGTGAGGGCGGTGAGGGCCATGAGGGCGTGAGAGGCGTGAGGGCCATGAGTGCGTGAGTGGTTTGAGGGCGGTGAGTGGTGTGAGGGCGGTGAGTGCGTGAGGGCAGTGAGTGCGTGAGGGCAGTGAGTGGCATGAGAGGCGTGAGGGCCGTGAGGGCGGTGAGTGCATGAGGTGTGTGAGGGCGGTGAGTGCATGAGGTGTGTTAGGGCCATGAGTGCGTGAGGGCGGTGAGTGCGTGAGGCCCCCTTCAGATCGAGCATGTTTCTCAGCAATTTTGGTGTTAATGGCGGGTTGTTCTCTAGCTTTCCCTAGATCGACACGAATTGCTGAGATCGGGTCCGGCTCGAAATAAGCAAGCAACTCGGAGCAATTCGAATACCTTTGAAGCGGCTGCATCCAATCAGGGACGCAAAATTTTCACGTGATACCTCGTGCCGGTGATGACGACACCGAATGACTTGGTTCTGGTTTGAAATCGATCGTTTTTTTGGAAATAAACTGTTTCAGAAAGGTGCATTAGTATTCTTAACGAGGTTTAAATGCATAAAAACACGTTTATAACGCGTAATTGTGTCTAAATAGTGCAAGAAAAATAAAATTTTATGATGACGATGGCAAATTGCAGCAATTGGTTGCTGCGTGTGATCGCGGGCGGCCCGTGTTGCTGGTGTTGCGACGTAAAGTTTCTGGGCGAAATTGCCCCATCTGAAGCTGGCCTGAGTGGCGTGAGGGCCATGAGTGCGTGAGGGGCGTGAGGGGTGTGAGGGCCGCATGGGCGGTGAGGGGCGTGAGGGCGGTGAGTGGCGTGAGGGTGGTGAGTGGCGTGAGGGCGGTGAGTGGCGTGAGGGCGGTGAGTGGCGTGAGGGCGGTGAGTGGCGTGAGGGCGGTGAGTGGCGTGAGGGCGGTGAGTGGCATGAGGGCGGTGAGGGCCGTGAGGGCCGTGAGGGCGGTGAGTGGCGTGAGGGCTGTGAGGGCCGTGAGGGCGGTGAGTGGCGTGAGGGCTATGAGTGCGTGAGGGCCGTGAGGGCCGTGAGGGCGGTGAGTGTCTTGAGGGCCATGAGTGAGTGAGGGGCGTGAGTTCCGTGAGGGCGGTGAGGGGCGTGAGTGCGTGAGGGCCGTGAGGTTCAGTGAGGGTAAGTGAAGGGCTGAAGGTGAGTGTGACTGTGAAGGTGAGGGTGAGTGAGGGGCTGAAGGTGAGTGTAGCTGTGAGGGTGAGGGTGAGTGAGGGGCTTAGGTGAGTGTGGCTGTGAGGGTGAGGGTGAGTGAGGGCGACCTAAAATGCCGACCTCTGCTCTGGAGTACCACAAGGAAGTATCCTAGGCCCTTTTCTCTTTAACGTATACGTATGTAAATGACATTGTGAAGCAAACAACTAAACTGATAATATATGCTGACGGTACAGCACTTCTGTATGCTGCGGACAATCCTGACAAGCTCGTGTCAAAAGTGAACCTATTGTTTGGCCAGATATCGGTAGGGACAGAAAAGAATGCTTTAACAATAAACACAAGTGAAACTAAAGCCGTACTATTTCAATCTAAGCATAAAATTCTCCCTCAAATAATCACCATTACTTTAGACTCGGTAAAATTGATTTAACGGATAATTTCAAAACACATGGAGTAGTATTTGCTCAGAATATGTCCTGGGATAACCATATTGAACATTTCAATAGAAAATTATCAAGAACTGTGGTTATTTTATGTCGGAATCGGTATATACTTCCTATGTCTGTTAAAATATTATACAAATCATTATTTTATTTCCATTTCAATTATTGTTTATTGTTCTGGAATACTATCACTGCAATTAATCTTGAGAAAGTGCACCTGCTTCACATAAGAATGTTGCGAGTAATTGCAAACATACCTTATCTTTCGCACACGAAAAAACTGTTCAAAACTTATAATATACTCAGTATTCACAATCTTTATAACTATAGGCTATCCACAAAAACTTAAAACAGAATTTCTCTATAACACTTCGTCCCTGGTAGGATTGTCTGGTTTGCAACGATATATCATACCATACCAAATTCGTAATCCAGATTACTGGCATGTACCAACATGTCGGCTAAACACTGGAAAGGAAATGTTAGCATACTGAACCCGAAAGCTTCTAAATGTATTTCTTTCTGAAGGTGTGTTTATAGATAGATTAATTCTGGTTGAATTGCACTCTGTCATGCATGATTTTGCATATATGGGTTGATGTGATAAGATTAGTTTTTTTTTTTTTTCCTTTTCTTCTCAGTTTAAACATATGTTTTGTGTTGATTTGCGAATGTCTACTAATATGGTGCTCAGTGACGTTTTCTATTTTCTTGTTTTTTTTGTATTCATTGTGATTACGCACGATTTTGTTTGGATATCGATATTTCCAAAGCTTCTGCAGAATGTACTGGGGCTGATAACTCGTCAAGCCATGTAGCGCGGCTTTTAGGGGCAAAGCTCCTCAGGGTCTAGCCTTGTCCGTCCGTCCATCCGTCTGTCCGGACGGTGTCCGGGCTCACATAAAAAGAAAAAAATGTTTGCGCAGTCGACAGGATTCGAACCTGTGCGGGGAGACCCCAATGGATTTCTAGTCCATCGCCTTAACCACTCAGCCACGACTGCGGGACGAGTAGGGGGCTCTGAGATGTGGCAGTAACTCAAGAGCTGAGGTTTCTGTCATGGATAAAACGTTGCATGTAGCCGCTCAACGTCTATACAGGAGAGGGCGCTGCGGTCAAATGCGTATATAATCACGTTAAACTTTGCATGCATTGGCTCAACGTTTATAGACGAGAGGGCGCTGTGGTCAAATGCTCAAATGCGTATATAACCACCTTCCATACTACACATTCTCTTTCTGACATGGACCGTTGACTTAAGCGGTGGAGATGCGTTTGCACGGCTTCTAGCGGATCCAAGCTGATCCGCTAGAAGAACCACTGGCTCTGCATTTCACCAACCATAAAGCAGTAATAATGAAGTTGAAAAGCAACCCGGAACTCAGCATTACCTATGAGCAATAAAAAAAATATCAGCATTATCAGCACTACCTATGAACAATAAAATCAGTATCATCATCACCGCCACCAGAACTTCCCCCCAATCAACATCATTCACCCTGTGGAGATGCGGTCATTTTTTTCTTGGCTCCACCATTAGGTGTAATGGAAATAAACTCTTATTATATTATTATTATTATAATAAAAAAGTTAAGAGTGCTTGCAAGACTCGACCATGAAAGTGGCGTTCTAGCATTCCGTCATGCGCAAGCGACGGTCCAATACAAGCGACTGTCAGCCTCTGTTGATATGCAGTAAAAAGCGACTGAGAGGACTAGTAAAAGCAACAAAATAAATATGCTGTCATTTTGAGCTTTTATGTTGTTATTTTTTTCGCACATGGCATCCGCGAGCAAGGTGAGAGAGTGTCATGACGCACAATTAAAACGTGACCTAAAATTATTTGCTTTGACAGGCCAGGTGCACTGCAAAACCTAAGACTTGCCTTTCGAAGCGAAATGATGGGAACATACCTGAACTAACCTTATGCGAGCCGAACGCTCGATTGCCTTTAGCCAATTGGCTCGCAAATTCTTACCTGTGTAGGTATCTTCTCGCTATTGAAACCATGGTCGCAGTCATGATGGTTGCACAATTCACAGAGCAGCGGGGCCACTTTTACGGGAACCAACATCTTTATTCAGCATCAACATGGGCAAAGGAAGAAATAGAGCCAGATTGATCAAAATAGTGAATGTGAGATGCTTGGCTTAGGCCAGTCCCGCTACGAAATCAAGCATCTGCACAGTGCCTCTGAAGGCGTGTCCTTGCCACAATTGTTTACTGCAAACTATGTCAGTTGATGAGATCTTCCTCTAAACTCCTCCGTAAACTGAGAAGTGACCCGCACTCACCAAAATTGACGAGCTCGACGAGCTATGCGTGTTCAGCACTCCTCAGTTGCCGGCTGCCATGTTTGTTATTGTTTGAAACTTGAGTGGAAAGGCAATCTTGGGATATTTTTAAAACAACAATAACTCTATCTAGATTTCTTTGTTTCTCAAACATAAAAATATACCATAGTCGTTTAAAGGACTAGTGTTACCTCATGGTGATACAAATTTACAACCAACCCTTCACACGTCAGTCATCTCTCGAGCCAATGAGAGCTGTAAGCACCTTGTAAGCACGGGACGGGGCTTAGCGGGCTGCGACCTACACCGTCTGCACCTAAATCAAGTCTAGCAGGGTAAATATTGCTAAAAAAAAATGTAATTTTGGGGTAAAATGTTTTTTAATATACATGTTCCTTTAGAAAAAGAACATTTTTTATTGCTGTGTCGAGAGATTGATTTGTGCGGTCCCTTCGAACAACCAACAATCCCTTTGACTCATCTGGTAGTGTGCGAGCGCATGCTGTTTTTGGCGTTATTTATATTCTGTTAAGCGTTTATTTATTACCTGCACACACTTCTATGAAGCAGTTTGGAGGAGTTCCTTATTTGTGATGTTGCACTTGCGCCCCTTTCAGCCATTGGTGAAATTCAAGAGCTACCTGTACTATGAAGAAAAGGATGAGGTTCAACAAGCAATCAAGACGCTCAGGCCTTTGCCAGGCAGTAGGGTGAGTAGTGCCATTTTGCTTTATTTCTCTTACTCTACAACTCACATAATAGATCCTGTGGAGGCAGATACAAGAAAAAGCATATTAGAATGATGGAAATTAAAAAAAAAAGAAAAAAAAGGTTTTATCCAAGTATTTTTTACTGTATCAGTCTGTAGCGATATTACAACTTACCGAAATTTTTTCATACTGTATTAGTCAGAAAGATAAAACAGCGCACAAAACGTCAAAGGAAGAGAAAGTAGTAAATCGAAAGAGCGCTGACTCCCGTCTAATTTATTTAGAAAGAGGAGAAAAGGAAGTAAAAGAAGCCACGAAAAGAGAACCCCACGTTTTACCTCTTTTTTTCTCCTCTTTCTAAATAAATTAGTTGGGAGTCAGCGCTCTTTCGTTTTACTACTTTTCTCTTTCTCCGACGTTTTGTGCGCTGTTTCATCTTAGTGATGTACCAACTATCTCGAATTACCGCTTTACTACTGTATTAGTCAGTGTCATTTTTTTTTTCATCTCGGCTATAATATCTGTGCTCGAAGTGTTTGTATAGGCATTTTACGAGAACACTGCAGCTTTTATTGAAGGCAAACCGTTGTTGTGGCAAGCTTTTAATGTTAGTGGTACACACATTTATGTTCTGATCTGATACAATAAAAATACACATATATAATAAAATCATGTTTGTAAATTTACTTAACTATAAAAAGGTTCTAATTATTTGTTTAATTAGCATGCCTTGAAACGGGATGCATTTTCCCATAGAACAACAAAAAGCTCTTTATAATGGCATGATCAGATAAGATTAGAGATTAGATTACTATAGCCTTCTCGAGGTGTGCAGGACATCTTTCGTTGCCATCAAGAGCAAGTTCTTTCAGTTTAATCACTGGGACCAGTAGCATGAAGAATGTAATTTGTGCCACACTGTCGTAATCACGTGAAGCTTCTTTCTATAACATCGGTTCAAATGGAAACTTGAATGCGAGCAACTTGAGCCTTTCAAGCGAGCCGTGCTTTGCAACTTTGAGCTGTAACACTTTTATTAAGGAAGATAATATAGTGAACAAAAGGTAAGGGCGCAAACGAGCTGGTGGTGGTTAAACATTTCGACAAAAACCCCGAGACTGGGACAAAAAGGGACGGACAAACACAAAGTCTCAAAGACTTTGTGTTTGTCCGTCCCTTTTTGTCCCAGTCTCGGGGTTTTTGTCGAAAGATAATATAGTTGGTGTCTTTTTTTAGAACTTGGAAAGCTAAACAAATACTTTTTAATATTGCGAAACCAACAAAGAGTTTTGTGAATGGAGAAATATTGCCTTTGACATAGTGTACATAGGATGGCTCTGAGGCGCCAGGTTACAGAACCTGAGCTATACTGTGGTTAAACCCTGACTTAGGTGCCTGCAATATGGCCGAGATATATTGCGGTGAAGATGCCGCCTTACTGAAATTTAGGACATACGTTACAGAAGATGCCAAGGTGAATTAAATTAATCTTTAGTCCTTTGGCTGGGATGTGCCAGATACCCTTCACTAGTTTGGCATGTGAACTCCAAACTTTTATTTTATCTGCAAGTTTTTCTGGATGACGTAAATGGGGTTAGGGAAGTACACTGTTGGTATAGGTTAAGTCAGACACATGATACATAGTGAAAGATGCATCAGGCATTCTCTTCGAGTATGTGTATAGATGCATCCATACAAAGAACATGTTTTCACATTGTAACTAGGTCAATATACGTGATTACATATGAGCACATCGTCATAAATGCATAAATTTGCATTTATGACGATTTGCATAAATTAGTACTAAAATACAGTAAACATGGAACAGCATAGGGCACAACATACATCGAGTCAAAAGTGTGAAATTCAATTTATGGACTCATGTACATCGATATATACAAAGTGCAAAACAGCCATGTTGCTGCCTTTCTCATCTTGAAAAAAAATTTGTAATTTTCATTTGCACTGGCACTCTTAAGGTGCATGAAGTAACAAAGCTGCCCAGAAAGTCTACGTCTTTTTGCACTTCCCCTGGCAGAGCTTGTTGCTGTGACGAAGCCATACCGCAATGGCATCGTCCACTGGCTTGAAATATCCCGTGCAGAGTCGTTTCCTGTTGGGATTGAACGCAGTTTCTCCTTGAAGCTTCGACTTATCTTCACTATCGTTGACATCGTTGATGGTGGAATCCCATAGTTCTTTGCAATGTCCACTTGCCTTTGACCGTTGTCCAGACGTTGACGGATTTTGAGCTTTCTCATAAAGACAACCGCTTCAGTTTTGTCGTACTCATTACAAACTGCCATCCTGCCGATGTTACTCAAAACTAAAATAACTGAGCGGAACCGATGACAAAAAAGAACAGATACATCACGCGGTTCGTTTTCATCTACCGCATCGCCGCTTTGCCTCGGTGACTCTGTAAACGCCAACAATCATACGCCGCCGCTGCAGAGGTGGTGGCGGCGGGGTGGCGGGTATTGGCTACTTCAGCACTGCAGAGCACGAAACTTTGTTGAACTGATTGCAAAAATAATCCTGGGTCCATTGATCAAGTTCGTTGAACTGAAATATTCGCTATTCTGAAATTCGTTAATTTGTTTAACTGAGACATTTTCGCATAAGATGCATAGGAAAACCGGCAGAAATTTTTTTAAAATTTGTTATTCTGAAATATTTGTTAAACCGATGTTCGCTCAAATGAGAGTTTACTCTATCTAAAGGCGGTTCAGCAGTTATTCCACACTCCAGTCCAATTTCATCATGCTATCCCTAGAGATAGCCCACCTAAAATCTACAGCATATCAGGTGAAAACATGGAGTGTTCTGAATTTTAGTGTATAACCAAGAAAAGGTGAAAAAAAAAAAAGACAACTTGTAGCAAAAGAATGTAAAGGTGTGTCTACACTTTGTTCAGTTACCCTCAAGATCTTTAACCGAGCAGTCGCTATCTTTGTGAAACAAACTGTCGATCACTTCTTCATGTAGGTCCTGTGACCCTTCAAACTAATTATCGCAGCAGGAGGCTATGAACCAAAGACGACTGCCCTTCCCAGTCAGCATTTATCTCCTGTCTAAGGCCCGCTCAGACAGGGCAACTTTCCCAGCAATTTCGGTGCTGCTGAGGAGTTGTTCCCTAGCTTTCTCCAGTGCGACAAGAATTGCTCGGGTCGCGTCCAGCTTGAAATGGACGAGCAAATCTGACAACTCGGAGACGTTTGAAGCGGGAGCAGTCAATCAGGGACGCAATATTTTCACATACCCTGTGGTGGTGATGATGATAGCTAAAGACTTGGTTCTGGCTTGAAATGGATCATTTTTGGGAATAAACTGATTCAGAAAGATGAATTAAGATAAGTTAGTATACTCAACACCATTTAAAGGTATAAAAACATGTTTATAGCACATGACTTTGTGTCTAAATAGTGCAAAAAAAATCAGATTTAATGATGATTATGGCAAATTGCAGCAATCGGTTGCTGCGTGCGAACGCAGGCGGCTTGTGTTGTTTGTGTTGCAACTTCAAGTTTCTGGGAGAAATCGCCCCGTCTGAAGCGGGCCTAACTGTCCTTGTTTCCACCGACGTCACCATTGGCCCGAAGTGCAATTAGTACTAGAAGTAAACTATCTTTCGGTGTTTGGAAAAAAAATACTGGATCATGCCAAAAGTAATGGTAGTGGTACAGTGGTAGTTGTACAGCTGGTGACCGGACAGGTGAAATCTGAGCACACATCCTTTTTCCCAGAGCTGGCCAAATTACTCATATTTTGTAATTAAATTACATTACTAATTACTTTGCTGAAAATTGCTGAAATGTAATTAAATTACATTACAAATTACCACAGCCAGAAAGTACTTAATTACCATTACAAATTACTTTTAAAAGTAATGACATTACTTTTGCATTACTTTTGAATACTTTTAAATATAAAGGAGCTATTGATAACTTCTTTTTACAGATAACTTTATTTACATTATTTACACAGTTCATGGCACACAGCTAGAACTCTCTGTTGCATGTTTACCGATGGACAGAGGAACGCACGTGACTGATCCGTTTCCCACTCCAACCCGGACAACTATTTTTGGAAATGACTGAGGACCCTACGCGGATTATCTCTGGGAGGGGGAGAACACTTGTCATTGTTCGCAAAATGGCTTCGAGGGCCGTTTCACCAGGGGCCTTGGTTCGACCTACTTCCCCTCCTTCGTTTCCCGAGAATGTCGAGCAGAAAAGCTCGAATGGAAGGCACTTACCAGCCCTATTTCTCACAGTGGACGATAACACAGAGAGGGTACACAGTATGCATCAGAAAAAGTAAGCGGAAACTTTCAAGAGGGGCCAGAAAACGTCGAATGCAAAACCGCAAAACATGGGTAGAGAATCGCGCTGAGCGGGTTTTCACAGTTCAAGAGAGTGGCAGAAAATGTCTAGCTGATAGCGGGCGCGAGAGTCGCACCAGCCGCATTAGCATCAGCAACATGGCGGCGGCCAAAGAGCGTTTTTTGGAAATGTGTAGAGGAAAAAGAAAAAGTAAAATAAAAAGCGCTCTTGTGTATTGTGGACACAAAAAAATATACCTGGTGCGAAAAAGTAATTAGGTAATTTAATTACAATTACCGTCGCTGGAGTAATTAATTACATTACTAAATTACCTGCTACAAAAAGTAATGAATTACATTACTAATTACTGGAACAAGTAATTAAATTACTACTGTAATTTCATTACAGTAATTACATTACTGCCAGCTCTGCTTTTTCCCCTCACAGATTGCATTTTACAAGAATGGGGAATGTGTTGGCACAGCATGGCAGGATGTCAATGAGGGCACCTACTATCCCGCAGTCTCCCTGTACAAGAACTGCACTGTGAGCAGCTGGCTTGGCCTTTCTTGCTTGCATTTTTGTGACTGAAGGAACTTTTGAATGCTTGATTAATGAATCATATCAGTGAAAGTACTGATAAGCACTATTTTCTGCTGGTCCGTGTGTTAGCACAACTGTTCTAGTACTTTGTTGTATAAAGTACTTGTGTGTCTGTTTTTGTTGATCTTCCGAATTCATTTCAAGCCCATTCAAGTTTTTTATGATTAACCAAATCTAGAATGATAAAGTAGCAAGTGCACATCTCTAGAAAGATTGTTTGTTTGCCATTACATTTTCTTTTCTTTCTAGTCTATGGTTATCATGGAAACAGTTTCCTAGATTGTCCATGTTTCTATGCTTTCTACTTTGAATATTTTCGGCAATTATCATTCCCTTTTTGTTTTTCCTGATGCAGGTGAGGTTCAATTTTGGACCAGACTTCAAGCACATGCCAAGGGATGTGCCATGTTTGGGAGTAAGTGTCCTTGCCAGCTGTTTTTTCGGCCATCACCGGTGTTTACATGTCTGGGTACATGCAAGCTTTGTTCCGTGCAAATACATATGGGGATAATGGCGGTAAACATTCCTCTGCTGACGTTGTCCGCTTGCGTTTGCGCCACCTTTCTTCAAACTTGCATTTGCTTCGGTAGTTCCGAACACAAAAATCACACTTTTTAGTGTTGTCTACCACAGATATAATCGGAGGAACGTAGCAAGCATCGCTGTCCCGAGCAACAGCCTCTCGAAGATGGCCGATATTCGCGTAAACTTGCAATTTTCCAAGCCACCACAAGCCACTCAGACACATTTTTTTTTGTAATTTCTCGTTTAAATATTGTATTGTTTTTTTTTTTTTACTCATAAAAGTAGGACAATCAAAAATAATGAAGCAAGCAAAAAAGAAAAAAATACTGTTACCATAACAATATTAATTTTTCCACATGAGAATTACAGACCACTTTTAGTGTCTTCTGACTTTCAAGATATGAACAGAAAAACAAATGCAAAATGATGCAGCAGCTGGGAACATTGAGCCATATCAGAGTGTGCAATAAAGCTCAGACATTCTTGTACATACTATATCTGATGAGTTTGAGCTCTGAGCACTGCGTTTCATTTTTTTACAGATCAATGAGATAGTAAACCGAACCATCATCCAGCAGACCGTGTCCGATTTGTTGTACCTTGTGGAGAATGAGAGGCAGCTGAAGCTCGATGCCACCTGCTTTTAGGCCATGTGCATCCCATCGTCATTTTCTTTTGTACAGCTATTTTTAATAAAACAATGTCACCTTTTCCTATAGCTCAGCTTTATTTTGTTCTGTCCTGCGTGCATAGCGCTGCACATATTTCAAAGGGATACTTCAGCGAAATTTGAAATATGCCCGTCATGTTCAGAAATGGGCTGAATATGATCCACAATATCCGTAAATGACAATCACACTTTTGTATTTTGACCCTGATGGCTGTATTTTTCGTTATTAACGGCCCACTCTGGCAAGTGGCAAGCGCTTGGAGAGCAGTCAGCGGAGAGCATGTGGCATCCGCCGCAAACGTGACATAGATTGTCTTGGGACGAGCAAAGCTGCGGCGAGGCTATAGTCGAGAGGATGTCCTAGCCGTTCCAATAATCGGCGGAATCTTCCTATACCTCCCATTGGGACTGCAATTGCAGACTGCAGCGCCAAATCTCCCCTTACAAGCGTTGGGTTTCTCCAAAAAAAAAGGAAACATCTAACAAACATACGGGTGCCGCCGTCGTCGTGGCAACCGTTATGCCATGGAAGAGGGTGTAAGGAGCATTGTCCCTTCTCTTTCTTCTCCCTCTCTTCACCCTTCTAAGAAAAAACGGAGACGACAGAAAAAAGGGGCAAACACAAAACGCTTAAATAATTTAGACGTTTTGTGTTTGCCTCTTCTTCGTTCGTCGCCTGTTTTTTTTTAATATGGAACATTAATTAGCTTGCGTGTTTAGTACTTACTTTTTCCTCGTGTGTTTACCTCTTTTCTGCAAATCTCCGACGCTCCCGCAATGCTTGCACTTTACTTTGCGTCACTCGATTAAGATTGGCTCGGTAACAGCAGTAACAGCGCATGCGTGGTGGTAGCCACTTGAACTAATTAAATTGTGTCAATGAATGCAAAGTGCACCCAACCGCCGGTGTTTTGCGGCTTAAGCTGGGCGACCTTTGTAGCAAAAGTCCAAACTTTTTTCGCAAGTTTTTTTTTTTATTAGGCACTCTTTATACAGAAAAAAAGTCACTTCAAGACACAACAATTAAAGGAACAAAATCTACACGAAAGTGATTCGACCAGCACGGTCTCGCAGAATTTTTCAGCTGCTGGGCACAAATTCATGGGTTCAATTCCTGGCCGCGGTGGACGCGTACTAAGGCGGCATTCAAAAACTTAAATTTCGGTGCAGATTCGGTGCATTACGTTGTTTAGCTCCCCTCCATTACAACCTGTGTAATAGCCCAGTGCTTGATTTAAAACCCCACATTCAATTTGCGACTGCTGGCATGCAAAGAGTTGTTGTGGATTATAATTATGGAGCTTTCCCAGCTTTCTCCTCATGCTAGATTTTCTGTCGCGTGGTTTTCTCGGTACTTTATTTACATCCCCAACGTGCCAAATGAGACGGGTTCGGCAGAATTGAACCAACAATTTTTGCGGCAGCCTTCTGTGCAAAACAGGTTTGTAGGCTACGCTCCAGTTTTTCTTGAAGCACACTGCCTACACCCCGCAAATGTGCTACCATGCCGACATGTTCAAGAAAACATCTTTCCATCTCCTTGATGGCCTCAAAAAACCCTGCAGAGGATGGGATGGGGTCAAGTCGCCAAAGAGCCCCCCTGGCTTTCCATGAGCTTGATGCATGGCTAAAGTCTATTAGGACCCTGTGAACGCAACACCCCGTTCCTTCAAAAGTCGCTTACAGACACAGTCTGTAGGGCGGCTCTTGAGGAATTGCTGCACGAGGTTCCCTGCAAAGCAGTATAGCACATTCTCCTCTGTGATGTTTGGGAGGTCTTCACCCGATATCTCTTTGGTTGAAACTTCTACTTCCTGAGTGTCTAGTGCCTGTGCAGGGTCACCCTGTGACAGGTGTGCTAGCATATAGGAGTCGTGCACTTCACAGTTTCTGCGAGACGTCAGAGTGAACAGTTTCCGAACAGAAACGTGCTTCAGTGCAGCAATGAACTGCAGCACATTAGGATGTTCATAGGAGCTACGATTCATTCTCAAAGACCCGAAAAGATTCTCAAGAGGGTCTTGCTGCAGGTGGCATGTCAGGAGGCAAGTAAAGTTTAAATTTTTGGAGAGGTTTTCCCACAACACGAGAACAGCCCTCATGGTGAGAAGCCATCCACGAATCATGTGCCTGGGGCTGTCAAATCTCCAGCTTGCAATCCACGTCACTGCCTCTTGCGAAACTTCCAAGTGCTCAGAATTGGCACTTATAGCATATAGTTCATTTTGCCATTCATGGCAGTGGAGCTGTTGCTGTTGAGGCAGTCAAACAGTTTATCTATTCTTTCTATGAAGTCTGCTGTAGATTTGGCAGTCCCAGGTAGTGCCTCAATTGAAATCATGAACAGCATTGCCAGGGTCAGTGTTGCTCAAGACCTGTGTGGCAAATCTTACCTTCATGCTGTTGAAGGGCCTCATATAAATGTTGTCATCTGTCAGTTTCCTTCTCAACCTCTGTCTGAGGGGATTAGAGGAATCATATAAATCATGAATGTGTTGCCAATCTACAATTTGAGAATGTGCTTCTTTGCCAATGAAAAGCTTGTAAGGGGCACACAGATTATTTCTCGTGCACTTTATAAAGTGCGGAGTGTCGAAGAAGAAATAAACCTTGTGCCCATCAATTTTAAAAGATGGAACTTCTTCTGTCACTTCCAGTTCCTCTGATAATTTGACATTACTTGAGCCCTGATCACACACTACTGCTCTCACAAACAGCTGAATCTCATTCAACTGTCTGATTAAGGTCTGCAGCAAATCCCACATCTTTTCAGCACACAGTGTCGTTTTTGCCACTGTGAACGCAAAGGACTGCACCCAGGGCTTTGAGATTCCAGAAAGGAGGGCAACAAAGGCTGTGTCTGTCACCTCCGTTCTTTCTATGCCGTCGTCTGAGAAGCCAATGACATCATTTCCTTTGTCATATTGTAAATTTGGTCGCAGAGACATGTGATCAAACATAATGATGCATGCCCGATCTCCTAATGGCCAATCTTTAACAGTGTCTTTGAGGACATCAGTCGCTCCAGAAATAATTCCAGGTGTCATTGACACCTCAGACAACCACTTTCGAAGGGGTCTCGGAGTCGGCAAAGCCAGCACTTTGGACAGAAACCGATATGCCTTGGGACCATGAAAATACATGCTCAAGGCGAATTCCTTCAGTTCCTGTAGCCATCTCCTTCCCTTCTTGTGACCCTGAAGCAGTACCTGACCCTCCAAAAGCGTGTAGAACTCTGGGCTCACAAGTGACCTCAACGTCTGCAGTGCAGCCTTCTTGGTGGGCTTTCGGGACTTCTCTTGCTCTCGGGTCCTCGACAATACCTTCCGAAATTTTTGGGCGTCACCCTTCCATTTTGAAACAATTTTCGCTGTCTGCGGTGTGAACAGCTTTCTTTTCTTCCCGCGACGGAGAGGCCAAGAACCTGCATAGATTAATGCATACCACACATTCATACCATATCTGTGGTAATAAATACTAGAGCTATTCCTTCCTGCAAATAAGGACAACAATGGCAAGTAGATGAGAATATTTACTAAAAATCATTTACATACAGTGCAATCCCAATAATGCAAATTTTCTTAATTCGAACTTCCAGTTAATTTTAACTAAGAGTCTGATCCCAGAAAATTTGTGTGTAGTTAAATTTAAAAAAAAAAAAGTAAAAGAAAATGTTAATTGAGCTTATGAAAACATGCAACAGATAATTCAAACACGATTGCCCACTGGCACATAGTGCTTGTCACAAAAACGTAATAGAAATAAAAGCCAGTTTGATACCTTTCACCATAGCATTGCATACCATTAATCCATGCAAAACTAAGACAGAAAAATAAGAAGAAATTGATGCATGCACTGAAGTGCACAGCAATGGCACAGAGTTCTTATTTCTTCAGGATTACCACTTTTTCTAGGCAAATGTTACTACATAAAAAAACACAACATACCAGAAGGTCCAGGCCGAGGCGTTGAAGGAGAGCCAGTGGTCTGCTCTCCACCTTGTGGGAAGCTGGTTGTAGGCTTCCTGGAAAGGGCAGGGGTGTCACCGGCGCCTGTTCAAAAATGGAGGGCTTTAGAAACAGTTTTATCATGCCGATAATTAATGCAATGAAATGCACTACGTGCATACCTTCAGGCTGGTTTTGACCCTTTGTACCTCTCGTAGCCTCCAAAGGGTCATCAGTGCCAAAGTTAATGGTGCCAGCAGATCTTTCCTCTTGAGCACATCCTCCGAGGTCCCCAGAGTCATTGTCGTCTGCTCCCAAGGCCTCTAAGTAGGCAAAGACCAGTGTGATATTAGTAATGGGTAGATAAAAGAAACAAAAGCAATGCTCAAATTTTATGCGGCTGATTAGATAAAGAAAAAAAATATTTGATCATTAATTTGAGGGCCTGGGCGATGTAACAATTTTTGTACCTTCAGTAAATGCTCCCTGGAATTATTTCTTGATATTTATGACCTATATAAAACATGCATTAGATTTGTTTTTACACGCAATGAATCACAAAAGATAATATGAAAAAGTGAGAAGAGCTCTCCCCCCCAATTCAAAGCAATAGCGTAGCCAGGATATATATATATATTTTTTTTTTTTGGGGGGGGGGGGGGGGGGAGGGGGAGGAGGGGGGAGGTGTTGAAAGTGCTGGGATGTCTATAAATTGGGCTGCAGAAAAGGGGGGGGGGGGAGGGCGAGAAAGGGGGTTGGGGGCGAGAAGGGGTCAATGTGCATGTTTATATCCTAGGGTAAACTGGACTTGGGTGTGTGCGTGTTTGTGGAGCTTTATAAGCCTTCCCCCTGGATATGCCACTGACTCAAAATCAGAACAAGCAGGCACCTAATGTATACAGCCAAATATTTGCCGCAAATCTTTATTAGAGTCACGCGCTGGGGTGGGCAAATAACAAGACATGTGTAGTGTTCCACAGATTAAGGCTATTCTCTTGTAAAATAAGGAACCCACCCAATAGTGTTGCACGGCCCATTTAAAAGCGTATCATGATTATTGCAAAAATTACAGCCTCTAGACGGGGTGTAAATAAATATAATGCTATTCCGAATTAAAGACAGTACCAAGAATGATAGAATTACCTTCACTCGTCAGGAAACGGAACCTATCGTCGGTAACCTTTATGCACGGGAATGCCTCTCCCAAGAGCTTTATTTTTAAGGGTTCAGCGTAGGCTTCGTCGGTTAAGTGCTCCGAGCAGAGCCGGTGGCTCTTGTTCAGCTGCTCCCTTGACAGCCCCCAAGTCCTCCCGGTTTGCGTATGCCGGCCATCTGGAAAAGAGTGAAGGTATGGCATTAAAGAAGCAGATGGTAGATAATAACGCCTAGCTGGCTCAAAAACAAACCACGCAAAGCCGCCCAGTTAAAAATAACCATTGGCTCCAATTAGGATATTCAATTGGAACCAACTGGAGTCAATGGAATTCAATTGGTTCTGGGTCATCCAACTGGTCATTCTAATTAGTTTCAATGTTTCCAATTGGTTACACCAACTAGGAACAACAAAATTCAATTGGCACTGGGCCACCTAATTGGTCACTCTAATTGGATTCAATGTTTCCAACTGGTTACCCCAATTAGGACCAACAAAATTCAATTGGCACTCAGCCACCTAATTGGTCACTCTAATTGGATTCAATGTTTCCAACTGGTCATCCCAATTGGGATCAATAAAATTCAGTTGGCACTGGGCCACCTAAATGGTTAGTCAATTGGATTCAATGTTTCCAACTGGTTATCCCAATTAGGATCAATAAAATTCATTTGGCACTGGGTCACCAAACTGGTCACTCTAATTGGATTCAATGTTCCCAACTTTGGGACAGAACTTGCCATTATCTCTTTCCTCACTACAGTTTCCAAAGATTGCAATTTATTTTATTTTTTTTTTTTCAGTATTGCGTTGCAAAAAAATATTTCAACATCGCAATTTGAAAGGGAGAAAAAAATTCGTACACTATTTAATAAAAAAAAAAAAAAAAAAAAAAACGAAAAAAAAATCTGTTTTTAGTCGGACTTGCCGGCAGCGTCGGTGTACACTGGGCGGCAAAGATGGCGCCGCGAGGACGGAGGAAGCACGAAGCACATAGCGCCGATGGCGTGTACGGCATTCGTAGCATGGTTATGGCAATGATTCAAGAACGTTTTTTTCTGTTTTACTGCTGCAGAGTGCTCAATGGTGCGGTGATAATTACTTCGTTTGACCTGCCAGCTTGTTAGAGCGCGAATGAGTGGCAACAAACGTTTATGGGAGCAAGGTAAGAAATTTTCTTTGTCCTTGCTGCGCTGCAGTTTGGGGATTTCGGATTGTTAGATCTGCTGAGGCACTCGTTGTTTGATCTTCAGTGAACGATGCGAGCTTGAATATATAGCTTTAGAGAAGAAAATTTTCCAGGCAGCTATCAGTTCGGAAGTTGTTGGGTATCCGCGAGGAAAGTTAAGTGCGTTTTAAGCATCTCAAAACTAAACTATGAATTGCTGAAAACACTGACTGGGCACAGTTTCAAAAATTGAAGCTTTGGGATTTAAAATTAAGTTATTTCGGGGGCATTTTCGATGAGTGGGGTGGGGGGGGTCGGTCGGTCGGTGATGTCGGGTCATTACTTCCGGAAGTTGATGACTTCTAATAAAATAACAGTAAGTGCCGAAAATTTTGCATCTCATCCGGCGGACTATTTGCAGCTATGTTTCAAAATTTACTCTGTCTCCACTCAGGGTAAGTTCAAAAACCTACCCGCGTCTTGCGTTGCCTCTGATCCATTCGAGTAAGATTTGGAACACAGCCTGCAATGCACGATTTCTTTTCGAGATACGGAAGACACTTATTTTTTCGGGAGGCACTCACTTGATCGAATGACGTTTTAGCGAACGCCCACGTTTCATCGAACGACACTTTAGCGAATAGTCGGACGCCGCGAAGCGGCGTTTTCGGGTGGGCCAAGTGAGTTCATATTTTTGTAATGAGTTGCCGCAGACTGTCGCCGCGAAGCGGCGTAAAGCGCAGCTCGACGGATGGGTTAACGCGCGCCCCCGTTATTCGCTAAAACGACCATTCGCTCAAATGTCGCCGTTCGCTAAAATGTCATTCGCTGTCTCGGCAAAAGCTTCATCTCCTAACTTTGACCAGAGTGTTTCCGTCACCCGGGGATGTTTGCCTTTTAATGCAAGGCCTGCAGGTTTATACCACTGCAACTAATTTCTTTGCAGCAAAAAGAAAAGTTTAGTATGTTTCTAAGCTTGATTTAAACATTTATAATCCAATAAGGTCATTTAATGCATATTTATCCTTTATTTTAGGGAAGCTGCAGCTGCTATCCTGGAAGAAAACGACGATGCCTAGAAGCAAGAAATCATTTCCAATAAGTTAAATAAAGACTGTGATTATCTACCTTTAGATCTAGTTGCAACTTTTTCTAGTTTGGGATATCCAAACACTAATGGTTGTCCCAATTCATATCTGTCAATATGATTTGAACAGTTGGACCAATTGCTTTTTTCCTATTGGGAGTCCGAAAACAGAAATTGGTTTTTTCCAATTGGTTGCATCCTATTGACAATGCCGAACTGGTTCGAATTGGTGATGTTCAATTAGATTTCGACAATTGAAACCAATCGACTTTTTCTAACTAGGAGTCCGAAATCACAGATAGGATTCCCCATTGGTTCTAATTGTCGATAACTAATTAGAACCAATTGACTTTTTCTAACTAGGAGTCCGAAATCACAGATAGGATTCCCCATTGGTTCTAATTGTCGACAACTAATTGGAACCAATTGACTTTTTCTAACTAGGAGTCCGAAATCACAGATAGGATTCCCCATTGGTTCTAATTGTCAATAACTAATTGGACCCAATGGTTATTTTTAACTGGGCGAAGCATTTAAAGAAAAAAAAATTGCGCGTACAGGAGTAAAATTATGGTGGTAGTAAAATTGCGAAGTGAAAACCGGCGCACAATCATCGGGCAACGAACACCACAGAGGACAGTGAGCGATTACGAATCCGGAAAGCTTCGTAGCCGGTGCAGAATCATCGGGGGGAAGCAATGGCGATGAGCAGCACAGCGGACAGTGTTCCCGAGGTGATTACGACGGGGTTTAAGGCGGTTACGAATCCAGAAAGCTTCTTCCGTGGTACCAATATGAAAAAGGGAAAACTCCTTCGGAAAACTCCTTCACGCCGCGTCTACGACGTGAAGGAGGTCCGTTTCGACGGACAAGTGGATGTCACGGAGCGCCGCACTCCGCTAACAAAATTAAGCGCGCCCGCAAAAAATGTAGTTGGCGTTGAGTGGACTGTGGTAATTATGTACGTTTATTTCTGAATCAGCTTGACAATAACTGGGCGATTTTTTCGCACCGTTCCGCGATTCCCACTGTAGGCTGATGGAAACATCTGTGGTGATCATATCACGCCCAGAGGTCGGCATTTTAGGTCGCCCTCACTCACCCTCACCCTCACAGCCACACTCACCTAAGCCCCTCACTCACCCTCACAGTCACACTCACCTTCAGCACTTCACTCACCCTCACTGAACCTCACGGCCCTCACGCACTCACCACCCTCACGGCCCTCACTCACTCATGACCCTCACGCCACTCACCGCCCTGACGCACTCATAGCCCTCACCGCCCTCACGGTCCTCACGCACTCATAGCCCTCACGCCACTCACCGCCCTCACGGCCCTCACGCCACTCATGGCCCTCACGCCACACAGGCCAGCTTCAGATGGGGCAATTTCGCCCAGAAACTTTACGTCGCAACACCAGCAACACGCGCCGCCCGCGATCACACGCAGCAACCAATTGCTGCAATTTGCCGTCATCATAAAATTTTATTTTTCTTGCACTATTTAGACACAATTACGCGTTATAAACGTGTTTTTATGCATTTAAATCTCGTTAAGAATACTAATGCACCTTTCTGAAACAGTTTATTTCCACAAAACGATCGATTTCAAACGAGAACCAAGTCTTTCGGTGTCATCATCACCGGCACGAGGTATCTCGTGAAAATTTTGCGTCCCTGATTAGATGCAGCCGCTTCAAACGTATTCGAATTGCTCCGAGTTGCTTACTTATTTCGAGCCGGACCCGATCTCAGCAATTCGTGTCGATCTAGGGAAAGCTAGAGAACAACCCGCCATTAACACGAAAATTGCTGAGAAAGATGCTCGATATGAAGGGGGGCCTCACGCACTCACCGCCCTCACGGCCCTCACACCACCTCATGCACTCACCGCCCTCACGGCCCTCACGCCTCTCGTGCCACTCACTGCCCTCATGGCCCTCACACCACTCACGCACTCACCGCCCTCACACCACTCACGCACTCATGGCCCTCACGCCACTCACCGCCCTCACGCCCCTCACGCACTCATGGCCCTCATACCCCTTACCGCCCTCATGGCCCTCACGGCCCTCACCGCCCTCACCGCCCTCATGGCCCTCACCGCCCTCACGGCCCTCACGGCCCTCACTCACCCTCACGACTTTTCCTGGTTCAGAAACTCACTCGCCCTCACCTCACCTGTGAAGATGAGGGTGAGTGAGGGCCCTCATGAGTGAGGTTTGCCGAGGTATGATCACGCCACGCGCGGGCGTGGCTGCCCGAAGAACCTGGCCTAGCCTGCCAACCGGATATGTCCCCCCTTTTCCCGCGCGGGAGAATTCCCCTCGCCCGCGGACCGCGGTGACTGAGGAATGTGGGGAGCGGGGGAGAAGACGGGAAAGGAGGTGAGGCCGAGGAGGAAGACCTGCCCGGGAACGGGCACTTGGAAATAAAAAGATCAGTTGAGTTTGGAACGCCTATGGTATCACTTCTCCCAGGCTGCGTCCCAACATTGGTGACTCGCGACGCTCAATCGCACAATGAATGATCAACTCAGCTCCGACGTCCCGATGGTTGCCGCCGTCGACGTCAAGTTGCCCCCATTTTGGACCGCGGACCCCGAGCGGTGGTTCCTCCAGGTGGAGTCACAGTTCGCCGCAAGGCGCAACACCGCGGACCTCACAAAGTACCACCACGTGGTGAGCAGCCTGCCGCCCGCAACGGCGAGCGAGATCCGCGACCTGCTATTCTCCCCACCGGCGGAGGATGCGTACAGCACGCTGAAGCGGACGCTCATTCGCCGGATATCGCCCTCGGAACCGCAGCGGTTGCAGCAACTTCTTCGCGAAGCTGATCTCGGAGACCGAACGCCCAGTCAACTGCTACGCCACATGCAACAACTGCTCGGCAGCACGGCGGCCGGTCTCGACAGTCTCC